ATGTAAGAGAAAAAAAAGCACTGCACGCTGGCACATCTACGGCGTCGGATGTCATCATGAGCGGTGTTAGGTTGCACAGGGCCATGGTCGGACAAAAAGGACAGGTCAACGACTCGACATGGAGACTGTCTTATGCTCTGCATCTACAACGCTAGGACAGTCTCCACTAAGATCTTTAACCCTTTTCGAAGCTGCGCGGCAAACTAACCATTATGTAATCGTTCTGCAGGAAACCAAGTTTAGGAAAACGGACGAGACAGCGAGATGGCTCACCCATCATTCATGGTGAGAACTTCATCACGGAACGTTGGAGACGTTGGATTTGTTGTACACCCATCTGCTGTTCATCTTGTCCGTCCACACGAGATCCTCTCACCTCGTCTGGTTCTCCATCGACTCGCTTCCTCTGCATCAGAAAACTATCACTGTCATTAACTGCTATTCTTCAACATCAGCAGCTAATAACTCGGAACTTGATGCTTTTTATGAGGATTTGGAGTAAGTCATCCGCAAAGGAAACTCCTTCTATAAGTTCGTCGTGGGTGACTTCAATGCGAAAGTCGGGATACCAGAAGAAGGGGAGCACAGGATCGGGAGATTTGGATCAGGAGCGGAATGAGAATGGTAACCGTCTTGTTGGGCTCTTATCCGCCTTTACGACTTTTTCATCGCAACTCCATTTTCATGAAGAAAGAACACCGGCAGTGGACATGGGAGTCACCCAAAAGGACGATTCATGTGGAGATCGACCACATTCTCACCAACTGAAGGTGGTGCTTACTGGACGTTTCGGTGGTACCATCCTTCAGTAGTGGCTCAGATCACCGCCCCCTTTGAGCAAGAGTGCAATACAGCCGCTGGAAAGGAAGATCTGCCACCGTGCTGGAGGAAGGAGAGAAGTCGTATATGACAGCGCCAGTTTGGAGGAGCTCCTGACCACTTGTGACTGACCCATGGAGGAGAACTCGACGAAAGATTACGACGTGGTTCTTAGAGAACTGAGAGCCTGTGATGAAAGTGCCTCAATGCCTCGCACAAGGAACTTGGAATAAATTTCGAAAGCCACCAAGGATGAGAGGGCACTGAGACTGGGTCGGACTGCATCACATCTTGAGCGACTGGTAGCCAACACCAGTTGCTGAGCAGCATTTAAGAAGATCTTTGAAAGTACAGGCAATCGAGACTTTAGAAGCAGCACAAGGAAGGAGGAGTTTAAAGAAGTACCGCAGGGACCTTCCTGACTGCCGTCAGCTGACAACGATTAAACGAAGGCGGGACTCGCACATTTTCCCGGCAGAAGATGGGATTGACTACGAAGAGATACACATCTCTTTCGCTCATCACCATCCGTGTCAAACCCCGTTATCCGCTGGAGAAATACCACCACGGATTCTACCTGTTGAAGTACGCGCCGCAATCCAGACCATGAAGGCAGCCACGGCTCCGGGACCGCACCATGCTTCGGTTGACCTCTCACAAGCTGGAGAACATCGCCTACACGAGATACTTGTGGTACACCTAACGTCTTCCCTTCAAAAAGAAAGGATCCCCGACTGGGTGGAGAACCTCCCGAGCAACCCTGCTTTATAAGAAGAACGATAGGGAGGATCTTTGGAACTACCGTCTAATATGCCTGATGAGCGTGCTTTACAAGCTCTTAACAAAGATTATTCTCGCCCGCATATCAAGGACACTGGATGAAGCCCAACCTATAGAAAAAACTGGATTTCGCAAGGGATTATGCTGTGTGGATCACATTCAGACGGTTTCGAGGACTATCGAGGTTTGCCTAGGGTACCGTCTACCTCTCGTCTTAACCTTCGTTGACTATGAGAAAGCGTTTGACAGCGTCGAGACTAATGCCATACTGTCAGCGCTCGTCGAAGACCCATCTTATGTGAGGACATTGGCCGACTGCTACAGGAATTGCGCTACAACGGTGCAGCTTTTCCATATCCCCTTGACACCATCTTACCGTGAGGATTGGCCAACTGCTACAGGAACTGCTCTACAACTGTACAGCTTTTCCGTCGTCCCCTAAACATACCTCTCAAAGCAGGTTCGACAAGGCGACACCGTGTCGCCAAAGCTGTTTACCGCCGCGTCGCAGTGCGTGATGAAATCACTGGATTAGAACGAGAGAGGTATACGAGTTGATGGAAGATTCTTCGTTTTGCGGACGACATTGCTCTCTTCTCGATAAATATCACTGATGCGGAGACGATGTTGAATTAAACGAAGTAGGGAAGCAGATAGGATTGCCAATCAATCGAAAGAAGACTCAGTTCATGAGGAACGCTTTTGGCGAGGATCAGGAAATGGAATTGAAAGGCTCTCCAATCGCGGAGACGTCTTCTTACGTATATCTCGTGCGTTTGATGAACGAGAACGATTTGAAAGAAGAACTAAACAGG